TCCTCCTCCTCCTCCTCCTCCTCCTTTTTTTCTTTTTCAAGAGGAGGAGCAGAAGGGAAATTAATTATGAAGCCCACGCGCCCTTAAACTATTCATAATAAACTTCTACAAAAGGACCTTTGGCTGACAATCATTTTCTTCTGGCGCGGCATGACCAAATACAGTAAAATGAAAACAGGAAAGCCAGGAAGGCAAGCCTGTAGCCAGAGCAGCCTGTTTTCACATCTCACACTGGCAAACGACAGACTCAAGGGAGCCTCCTGAGTATTTGCCGTCCCCAATTCTCTGCTTTCGCGGCTCTGAAGGGCTAAGAAGACTTTGCTGTTAGACAAGACGCCTTCGCGCTTCAGCTTAATTTTCCTTGCATAATTTTAAATACAGATCATGTCTACAGTGCAGCAATTAATGGATAGCCTAAAGACTTATTATTTCAAACTAATTGATATGTAGGAAAAGTTTAAATAACATAACAGGGATAGGGAAAATTTTAAATGATGTGAGCGCCGTGGATTTAGAATTTCAGTCTGTTGTGGAAGGGAGCAACAACACCCGACTGTCAAGGGGTGTGGCCAGAGTGTCCAGTTGATCCGGAAGGTTTTCCTTGAGCCATTCAGCAGTCAATAGCTGGGAGGAAGGAAGACTGAGAAGTTCTAGAACTTGAGGCAGCGATGGGGAGGGGTCCCCTCCCCTCCTTCCTCCCCTCACTCTTCCCCTCCCTTCTCCCCTCCCTCCTCCCCTCCCACCGGTTCTAGGAGATTGTTTCATGGGAGAAGTGAAGGCCACAGTATACTCAGACCTGTGTTCTTAGGAAGGGAGTAAGGCATGGGAAAATGATGCTAATATTTCCATTGTAACTCTTCAGCCAAATCTCCCTTTTGACACTAGTTTAAGAGGAATATCTACAAAAGTCCAGCTCACTCTGCTCAAAGGAGCCTCTTCCAAAATACCAAAATACCAGTTTTTCCTGCCAGGAAAGTGCTAAATTCTGAGCTTCTGAGTTCTACGAAGTGTCCTGCTATGAGTTATATTACTAGAAGGAAGAGGAGGAGGAGGAGAGGAGAGGAGAAGAGAGGAGAGGAGAGGAGAGGAGAGGA